GGCGAGGGACGCGAGCGCGCGGAAATGGTGGCGTGCGCGCGAGCTGGCCGTGTGCTCCACAGTCCAACACTTAGTCGTATTTTTCTATTTTTCGTTCTAAACGCTCGGCTCGACTTTCCAATTCAAATAGCACTCGACTTCGCTCAATATTTTTTTTGGCTCGGCTCTAACAAGTCGGTACTGCCGAGCAGGTCGGCACGAGCTCTCGATTTTTTTTTATGAAAATAAGAGAAAAATGAAAACAAAAACGTGGGTTGCCTCCCACGAAGCGCTCGATTTATAGTCGTAAGCTCGACTTTCCCTACAATTCAAAAATCACCCGGGCATGGCTCGACGAGCCCCTCCATCCTCATTTTCGGACTCGTCAAAGAACACATTCGCCCACCTACTCCTCGGGGATATCGGGGGTTTCTTCTTCGACCCCTCACCCTTCTCAAAGTTTAGGCCATCTTTTTCGAATTTCCAACCCCCGTACATCACTTCATCATTCAAACCCGATGGGGTGTCTCCCGGTTTCGTATCTCCATTCTTAAATTTCTTTTTCGCCATTTTCTTACCCGATTTTGAACCGAATCCCTTTCCAACATCATTTTTTTCTACAAAACCATTTCCATTAGAAAATTTAGAATTAGGGTTAGGATGTACCTCATTGCCGAAGTCTTCCACGAACGAGCATTGGCCAACTTTGGTTGGAGCATCCCGGGCATTGTTCATCGTGAAAGTAGTAATCTTTCCATGAGCCGAGAGAGTGACTCGTCCCTCCTTGACGTCGATAATGGGGTTGGTCGTCGCCATAAAGGGTCGACCAAGCAAAATCGTGTGCTCCTTCCCGGTGTTCGGGACATCTCCAACGTCGAGGACTATGAAATCGACCGGAACGACAATCGAACCAACCTGACCAACACATCTTTGATTATACCTTTTTGCTCCCGCAAGGTGCGGTCCGCCAATTGGAGGCTCATCCGAGTGGGCTTAAGCCCTTGCAAACCCAATTGTTTATAAATAGAATAAGGCATGAGGTTTATACCGGCTCCCAAGTCGAGCATCCCGGTTGTAATCTTCTCATTCCCGAATGTAATCTTCATGACAAAGGCTCCCAGATCACATTCTTTCCGAGGTATGGTAGTCGAGGCTACCTCGGAAATCATCACCTTTTCATTATCCACGAACCTCCACTTTTTTGAAGCTAAGTCCTTGAAAAATTGAACATATGCCGGCATGTTTTTTATAACGTCTAGTAGTGGGAGGTTCATGTTCACCTTCAAGAGCATGTCAAAAAGATCTTGAAATTGACGCTCCTTCTTTGTATCTTTCAAACGGCTCGGGAAGGGCACCGGTGGTCGATAAGGTTCATCCGCTTTGTGCAAAGTCTTACGGACATCCTTCCTCCAACTCTCCTTCTCAATCCTCTCGTCAACAACGACTTACCCTTTCGAAACATCTACTTTTTCACCCGGCTCATCATTATCCTCATCAACAACAACTTCAACCACCTCATCTTTCTCGGGCATCTCAACACGATTATCAATCATCTTACCGTTCCTCAAGACCGTGATGGCATTCAAGTGCTCGGGTTGGCTCGGGAGCTTGTCTTTCATTTTGCTCCTTCGGATATCCCCTATGGAACTCCCGAGTTGCCCCACTTGAGTCTCGAGGCATTTAAGAGAGGCTTGAATTGATGGCACTCCCTTGATGGTGTCGTGAAATGTGGAGATGGTGGATTCCAATGATTGAAGGCACTTCTCTAAGCTTTCGATCCGAGTCTCCGAGGGTTCTCCGTTAGCATTTTTCTCGGGCTCGGGTGGAGGTGACAAAGGTTGCCTCGGGATAAAGCCTCCACGCCCTTGTGGATATCCTTGAAACTCGAGCCTCAGTTGATAGCCTTAGAATTCGGGCCTCGGTTGGAACGTTGGTCGGTTGTTCGGTTGAGCATATTGTTGAGGTTGGGAATAGGCTTGTTGTGGTGCCGGTTGGGGTGGGTAGGTGGCTTTCGGGTCCCTCCATGAAAAGTTAGGGTGGTTTCTCCACCCG